ATCACAACATGCCCTGCAAAAATAAGTTAGACGTCCTCTACTTTGTCGTTGCAAGTTTTACGTGGCTGCTACGGGCTTAGCAAGAACCGTTCTTACCTACGCATCAAAACCACAACGATAGTTTGTCAAGTTGATGATGTTTTAACCTTCGCAAGGACCGGGCGTAGCCACACTCGATTCAACTAAAGTTGAAGAAACTGACACCCGCCAGCCACCTGTGTGTAAAGCATGTCGGTAGAACTAGTCTCGCGTAAGCGTACCGTAATGTCGGTCCGGGCCGCTTCATCCAACAATACCGCCGAACCAAAGTATGACATGCTGGTAAGCAGTATGACTTATATCGCCCACAACTCACTTGTGTTCTACTCGTGCATATGACATCTACGCATAAAACCTGGCTCGGATGCCATTGTTAGGGAACGTAGTAATTTCAAAAATTTCCTACGCACACGCAAAATCATGGTGATGCATAGCAACGAGAGGGGAGAGTTGTCCACGTACCCTCGTAGACTGAAAGCGGAAGCGTTAGCACAACGCAGTTGATGTAGTCGTACGTCTTCACGATCCGACCCATCAAGTACCGAACGTACGGCACCTCCGAGTTCAGCACATGTTCAACCCGATGACGTCCCTCGAACTCCGATCCAGCCGAGTGTTGAGGGAGAGTTTCGTCAGCACGACGGCGTGGTGACGATATTGATGTTCTACCGACGCAGGGCTTCGCCTAAGTACCGCTACAGTATTATCGAGGTGGACTATAGTGGAGGGAGGCACCGCACACGGCTAAGAGATCAATGATCTAATGTTGTGTCTCTAGGGTGCCCCCTGCCCCTGTATATAAAGGAGCAAGGGGGGGGTGCGGCCGGCCAGGGCACAGGCGCGTGATACGTCTCCAACGTATCTATAATTTTTGATTGCTCCATGCTACTTTATCTACTGTTTTGGACTATATTGGGCTTTATTTTACACTTTTATATTATTTTTGGGACTAACCTATTAACCGGAGGCCCAGCCCAGATTTGCTGTTTTATGCCTATTTCAGTATTTCGAGGAAAAGGAATATCAGACGGAGTCAAAACGGAACGAAATCAACTGGAGAAGTTATTTTTGGAAGGAAACCCACCTGATGGACTTGGACTCCACGTTAGAAGATACAGGAGGTGCTCACGAGGGTGGGGGGCGCACCCTCCCCCTGGGTGCGCCCCCCTGCCTCGTGGGGCCCTCGTAGCTCCACCGACGTACTCCTTTCACCCATATATACCTACACACTCTAAAACTTTCAGAACAGAACCTAGATCGGGAGTTCCGCCGCCGCAAGCCTCCAGAGCCACGAAAAACCAATCGGGACCCCTTTCCGGTACCCTGCCGGAGGGGGATCCATCTCCGGTGGCCATCTTCATCATCCCGGCGCTATCCATGACGAGGAGGGAGTAGTTCACCCTCGGGGCTAAGGGTATGTACCAGTAGCTATGTGTTTGATCTCTCTCTCTCGTGTTCTCTCTCGTGTTCCCTCTATGGCACGATCTTGATGTATCCCGAGCTTTGCTATTGTAGTTGGATCTTATGATGTTTCTCCCCCTCTACTCTCTTGTGGTGAATTGAGTTTTTCCTTTGAAGTTATCTTATCGGATTAAGTCTTTATGAGAACACTTGATGTATGTCTTGGTGGTCAACTTGCGGGTTTCGTGACATTGGGAACCTATGCATAGGGGTTGGCACACGTTCTTGATTCTCCGGTAGAAACTTTGGGGCACTATTTGAAGTACTTTTATGTTGGTTGGATAAATCTGAGATTGTGTGATGCATATCGTATAATCATGCCCATGGATACTTGAGGTGACAATGGAGTATCTAGGTGACATTAGGGTTTTGGTTGATTTGTATCTTAAGGTGTTATTCCAGTACGAACTCTTTTATAGATTGATCCGAAAGAATAGCTTTGTGGTGGTTTCGTACCCGACCATAATCTCTACGTTTGTTCTCCGCTATTAGTGGCTTTGGAGTGACTCTTTGTCGCATATTGAGGGCTTGTCATATGATCTATCTATGTTATTATTGTTGAGAGAACTTACACTAGTGAAAGTATGAACCCTAGGCCTTGTTTCCTATCATTGCAATACCGTTTACGCTCACTTTTACCGCTCGCTACCTTGCTGTTTTTATATTTTCAGATTACAAAAACCCATATCTACCATCCATATTGCACTTGTATCACCATCTCTTCACCGAACTAGTGCACCTATACAATTTACCGTTGTATTGGGTGTGTTGGGGACACAAGAGACTTTTTGTTATTTGGTTGCAGGGTTGTTTGAGAGAGACCATCTTCCTCCTACGCCTCTCGCAGATTGATAAACCTTAGGTCATCCACTTGAGGGAAATTTGCTACTGTCCTACAAACCTGTGCACTTGCAGGCCCAACAACGTCTACAAGAAGAAGGTTGTGTAGTAGACATCAGCACGCCAGGAGGAGTCCTACTCCCACTGGGAGTAGGACTCCCTCCCCTTTCCTAGTTGGATTAGGACTTGGGAGGGGGGAAGAAGGAAAGAGGGGGGCCGGCCCCCTTGCCCTAAACCAATTCGGTTTGGGCCTTGGGGGGCGCGCCCCACACTTCCTTGGCTTCCCTCCTTTTCCACTAAGGCCCATTAAGCCCCCGGGGGGGTCGGGTAACCTCCCGGTACTCCGGTAAAATCCCGATTTCACCCGGAACACTTTCGATATTCAAACATAGGCTTCCAGTATATCAATCTTCATGTCTCGACCATTTTGAGACTCCTCGTCATGTCCGTGATCATATCCGGGACTCCGAACAACCTTCGATACATCAAAACATAAAACTCATAATATAACTGTCATCGTAGTGTTAAGCCTGCAGACCCCACGGGTTCGAGAACTATGTAGACATGACCGAGACACGTCTCCGGTCAATAACCAATATCAAAACCTGGATGCTCATATTGGTTCCTACATATTCTATGAAGATCTTTATCGGTCAGACCGCATAACAACACACGTTGTTCCCTTTGTCATCGGTATGTTACTTGCCCGAGATTCGATCGTCGGTATCTCAATACCTAGTTCAATCTCGTTACCGGCAAGTCTCTTTACTCGTTCTGTAATACATCATCCCGCAACTAACTCATTAGTTGCAATGCTTGCAAGGCTTAAGTGATGTGCATTACTGAGAGGGCCCAGAGATACCTCTCCGACAATCGGAGTGACAAATCCTAATCTCGAAATACGCCGACCCAATAAGTACCTTTGGAGACACCTGTAGAGCACCTTTATAATCACCCAGTTACGTTGTGACGTTTGGTAGCACACAAAATGTTCCTCTGGTAAACAGGAGTTGCATAATCTCATAGTCATAGGAACATGTATAAGTCATGAGGAAAGCAATAGCAACAAACTAAACGATCAATTGCTATGCTAACGAAATGGGTCAAGTCAATCACATCATTCTCCCAATGATGTGATCCCGTTAATCAAATGACAACTCATGTCTATGGTTAGGAAACTTAACCATCTTTGATTAATGAGCTAGTCAAGTAGAGGCATACTAGTGACATTCTGTTTGTCTATGTATTCACACATGTATTATGTTTCCAGTTAATACAATTCTAGCATGAATAATAAATATTTATCATGATATAAGGAAATAAATAATAACTTTATTATTGCCTCTAGGGCATATTTCCTCCATTGCCTCCTTCTCCGGCGTCGCAGCGAAGTGGACGGGAGGCGCGCTCACCCACTTGCGGTACTGACCCGTCCACGAGTAGGCCTTCTCTGGCCAAGTGAGTGGAGGCGGGGAGCGCTTACGCGTCGCCCAAGTGGGTGGAGGCGGGGAGCGACAGCGTGACATCGGGGTACAACAATGGTTGCCTGTACTCCTAGCGCCACCGCGCTTGGTGCACCGGGATGTGCAGGCATTGGCGACCAGAGCGGAAACGCGTCGCTGCTGGAGGAGGAGGGGGAAGGGGAGCACGGGAGGACGAGGCGCCGGGGGTGCCCTTGCCCTTGCCATTGTTGCTGCCGAAGAGGCCCATGGCTAGGGTTTGCGGTCGCCGGCGAGGAAGCAAAGGGAGTGGTGGTGGGGGGGGGTCAGATGTGGACGGGAGAAGTGGATGAGGCCGACCCCGCCGCACGCGTGGCTAAAAAAAGACGCTTCCACTGGCTGACGCGTGGACCCGCTGTCGGTGGTCGTCATAAATAAGACGACCGGTGGCGGTTGGGTGACCGCCAAGTGGGGATGCGACAGACGGCGAGGAGACGCGCGGCGTGTCCACTTCGCATCCGCGCCGACGCATACCAAGCGCAATTTTGGGCCGGAAATGGATCGACGCGGACACCAGGCGGACACGATTTGAGTTTGGGTCGACGCGTTGGGCCGCCACTTTTGTCCGCGTCGATCCAAACGAACGCGGGCGGACGAAATGGGTCGCCCCATTGGAGTTGCTCTTACTCCCACTATGAGTAGTCATAGGAAATAATTGGCCCTGTTTGGTTCGGCTGTGGATTTCTAAAAGCAAACCAACTGATACAGTTTTTTTTTCAGATTTTAGCCCGCAGCGAAATCAGATTTGGGAAAGCACGTCCTAGACTGCTTCCGTTTTTGGTTCAGATTTTAATAATGAATTTTTGAAATCGAATTCTACTGGGTTTGTCCTTTGATTCAGATTCTGCTGGGTGACAGCGGAATCCATAAAGGGGCGAAGGCAGCCTCGGATTCCGCTCCGGCGGACCGGCCCTCGTCACTCCGTGCGATAGTTGCCGTTTGTCCTAATCAAACCGATCCATTTCCTCTCCAACAAGTTGACTCATTTCACCGCTGCTCCGAGCGTATAATCCTTAATTAGCAACCACCGACGGCCGCAATTACCTCCCACCCCCGCCCCACCCCTCGTAAACCCCGATTCCTCGATCGAATCTAGAGCACAGGTGAAGAGGAGGTAGCCGGCGGCGGGCGAGCGGCCAAGTCTCTCAGGTGTCTTCGACGATGGGGTTCATCTCGGGGGTGGTGATGGGGTTGGTGGTCGGCGTCGTGATCATGGCCGGGTGGAGCCGCGTGATGCAGCGGCGCAGCAGGAAGCGCGTCGCCAAGGTTCGGCCGGTCTCACGCGCGCCAGCGCCATCTTCAATCCTCTTGCCACTCCAGTTGGATTGCTCGCGGTTACTGCTAGGCGTACTGCGAAGCTCGTTTTGCGGTTGCGACTTTTCATTTATTTGTGAAGCGAACATTTACAGGCTGCGGATATCAAGGTCCTTGGGTCTCTTGGCAGGGAGGACCTCAAGAAGCTCTGCGGCGACAATTTCCCCGAGTGGATATCCTTCCCACAGTATGAGCAGGTTAGCACTAGTTCAACTGATTTGTCTTTAGTGCGATTTTAGTCGTGTGTTTGTTAACTACTCCCTCCGTAAAGAAATATAAGAGCATTTAGATCACTATTTTGGTGATCTAAACACTCTTATATTTCTTTACAGAGGGACTACATACAAGAGAAACTAGAATTCACGGACTTGACCACTGGATTCACGAGTGGTAGACTGTAGTACTTGGAATGTCTGTCTTGGAAAGGTTTTTTCTTCACTTAAGTTATATGTACATGTAGGCATCTCGAGATGCAAGTGTAGGTGGACCTAGGCAGGTCTGGTACGATTTTCTTGTTTGATGACCTCGATGAATTACTATTGAAGCCTGTTAGATATTATGTACTCCCTCCATTCCATAACGTGCGCATACAGATGTTTTGAAAGTCAAACCTCACAAATATGGAATGCCAAACATATATCATTAGATTCATCATAACATGTAGTTCCATATTTTATGTATTTTGTACTGTAGATACAAATAGTTTTCTCTATAAACTTGGTCAAAGTTTGACTTTTCAAATCAGAGGGAGTATCACATTGATGCAGAGGCCGGAGTTTCAATCTCCTTTTCGAAAAAGGTGTCAGATGTCTGAATCACTGAAGGTTTGGGCGCCCTGTCAAATTCAACTTCTTCCGCATCTTTGGATCTCCTTCTCTTCCGAGTCCTCTTCAATCCCTTGCCCATCTTCTCCCCCCGAGGCATCCTCCTCCTACCACCTCACCACTCCCCCTTTCTCTTCTGTGCATTTGCATAGAACTCTCCCACCACCTGGGACTGAGTGCACACCCAAGCTTTTTTACTCGCCCACTAGATGCCGACTAATCGCCGAGCCGGTGCAGCAAAAGGTTGTGACCAGGCGATTAATGGTGACTAATCACTGACAAGATCAGGCTAATCACTGAGCTGGAGGCATCGTGACTCGACGTGACTCCGCGGCACAAAAACCTTGACCGCACCGCACCACCTCCTTGCACTACCATACCACGTCTCGTACAATGCCTACACATGCCAGTGCTGCCCTGCCCACTCTAATATCCACTCCTTTCTTAGGCCATCATCACTTGCCGCCCATGGCTGATGGTGCGCTGTGCCTCCATGCCTACAACCGACCTTGCTACTGCCTCCATGCCTACAACCGACCTTGCTACTGCCTCCATGAGGGCACTAATAAATCCGTCTAGTGAACATGATCAAATCTCTTGATGGAACTCAAGAAGAGGAGAAAAAGAAGGAACGTAAGGATCTTACATCAAACGTATCTGGATCGACAGCTAGATCGTCTCACTGACTCACTCAATGATGCCCAAATAGAAAGACTTTTAATAAAGTAATATACCATGATAGGCTAACATGCAGTAATTACATGAAGGGGTAATATTTTAAAGCTCAAGAATTGTTGGTTTGTATTTGCCTAAAGACGAGGACATTTCTGTGAGGTGGAGCTTCTATCATCTTCTGCTAAGTAAATTTTGTACGCGCAGCTAGTTTATGAGAAACTGTTCATGCTTACTTCATTTCTCAACATGATCAATGGATATTCTGCCTACATTTTCTGTCCCCACAGGTGAAATGGCTGAACAAGCATCTCAGCAAACTTTGGCCTTTTGTTTCACAAGTAAGATTTTCTTTTGGCTCTTAAGAAAATTTAGAGTAACGTAAATGATAAAATACTTTGCCAATTGGAAAATCCTGCTTGCTAGTAACGGACATGTGGTGTCCCTTTATAGCAATTTCGGTCCCTTAGTGTATGTTGTTTCAGCAAGCTGTTGAACTACAGACTGGTTGTTCTTTAATTTTCTGTGCATTCCAGTCCTGGCATTTCATGGGGTATGTTTGATATTCTTTTTGGTTATGTTGATTATGTTGTTAACTTCCTATTACTAGCACAAAACAGCTTGAAATTTTCTCTCACTTTTGTTGCTGCACCGCGAAGATTTACTGAGTGTAACAAAATGATTTTGGCATTTGGAGTATCCCTTCTTTATTCAATCTTTGCATCCTAGACTTGATGATCACGGTCATGAACATAGCACCTTCTATGCTATTAAGAGCCTATTAAATGTTGTTTGGAGATTCAACTTTGGTGCTGGTCACACCAATTATCATATTTGTATGTATGGATACTATGTCAAAATAATATACTTCAAATTATTTATAGTTTCCACAAAGTGAAATGGTGTCCTAAGCCGTTTCCTTCTGGCCACTGGTAAATAGCATGAATGTGTTGATCAAGACGAATGGTTGTATTCTTTGTTTTAATACAACCCCGTATTCCTGTGCACCTAAGGTTTTTTTTTCTGTTTTTTATTCTACAGTAATGTCTATATGCCATGTGTGTACTACTAAGTACTAACTATATTTCTCTTTTGGTTTAGGCTGCAACTGCAGTTGTTAAGGAATCTGTTGAACCCCTGCTAGATGATTATCGACCTCCAGGAATAAAATCTCTGAAGTTCAACAAATTCTCTCTTGGAAATGTCTCGCCAAAGATCGAAGGTCTCATTTTTTGTTTTTCGGATTCTCTAGTATCTAGAATGCACTGATACAGATATGTGTATCAATATCGGGCTGATACTGATACGTAAATTCACCATTTTGGAAAAGCACCAATACGGGGATATGTTTTACTATTTTCTTTTTTCTCCAAAAAAGTGTATAGAAGCTAGGAACAACAACTGATTTCTCTATAACTGTAACATGGCTCCACAATTGTGCCCTTAGGTTGGTAGGTTGAGTAGAAGGATCCATCTGGAGGGGAGGATTAGAGGAGATGAGATCATGAGGGGAGAAAGGAGAAAAGGAAGTGAGCTTATCTACGACTGTCAGCTGAACGGCTCAGTGTACATACCTTGGGAGGTTGTGCCGACCTCAATCGTTGAGCTAGGGGCTAACGCCCACCGGGGAGATGCGCGAGTCGGTGTTGCATCGGCTGCTGCTGCTGGGGTGCAGTCACCACCGTTGCCACATAAGTTGTCGTTGTCAGTCTTTTTCTTAAGGTGGTTTCGGTGCTGGAGTTCTGGTCGCTGTTGTAGTCGCTAATGGCGCCATACTCATAGTTGGCGTAGAGAGCTGTTTGTGGTGCCGACTAGCCGGTGTGGAGGAGCTGTGTCTCTCATAGCAGGAGGAGCGACCTGGTTTGCATGAAGGTAGGGAAGGGAACCTAAACGGTGACAAGGGTCGAGATGTCAGCAAAGCGTGAGTTGAGGCCACATAGGTAGTCTTGCACGAGCGTCTGGTCGGTCATGGGTTGCCTGACGTCTAGAAGTGTTCCATAGAACGACTTAAGGAGATGACACTAGGCGGTGATGGTGAGATTGCCTTGGGTGAGAACACACAACTCCGCCCCGACTTAGAAGGCGTGGGTGAGCGTCTATGCCTCATGGGCGGTTGGTTCTCCACCATGATGATGTCGAAGACATCCTTGATGATGGGGCCATACAACCTTGGAGAAGTTCGGCAGCCAGGGTGTCATCATAGACATGACTGGTGAGCTCGTACTTGCCGAAAAGGACGTTGATGAGCATGCTCCACTTCGAGAAGTGGAGGCCTCGAGGTAGAGGATGTCGGGGACATTGACGGCGAGTGAGGCCGACGATGTAGCCGGGACCATGGCGGAGGAGAGTGCCGCGGTCGTTGCGTAGAGCCGGGCGGGCGAGGACAGCACACCCATGGTAAATGAGGTGTTCATGGTTTTTGTTTTTGAAAAGGAGGATAACCCCCAGCCTCTGCATCGAGCAACGCACACATCCATCTTTATTGTATTATTCAACATAGTTTGACAAAATAAATACATGGATCAACCCAAAACCACCTTCCTGGGGATCAAAGTCGCTACACGTACTAGTTTGATGATGTGCCCTTACCACACACCATCTAATCCGGTGGCCCCACCAAGCCGCCCCACGGCGAGCAGAGATCACCAACCGTTCTAGCAGAGTCGCTACACCTACTAGTTTGATGATGTGCCCTTACCATGCACCATCTAATCCGGTGGCCCCACCAAGCCGCCCCACGGCGAGCAGAGATCACCAACCGTTCTAGCAGACCCTCAGCATGCACCGTATGCGCACGCTCCATCTTCTGCCATCCCAATTTCTAGAGAGATCAATGCATTAACCTTGCCAGGCCCAACCGCCGTCGACGCCACCACGACACCAAACAATGCCACGACCCTGCGCGCGTCCATCAACACACGCCCATCATCGAGACCCCGCTGCGCCAGGCCGCCGAGACCGCGTCACTGACGCGGTAGATGCCACACCGCACAACCTCCTGATCCAGATCGCCACCAATGCCAACCCAATGGTGTCCACGAGCAACCTATCTCCCAAGGTGGCGCCTTCAAGAAGGGAACGACTCCGAAGGCGCCGTCCTTGCCCGCCGCAGTTAGGGCTTTCATCTGAGAGACAAATGATGGGATGGAGGTAGTAGCAGAACTGACGAACGTCTCCATGGAGGAAAAACAGCGCCCTTGGGTGTGGCTGCCGTCGCGGCTGACCAGTGCTGGTGAGGGATTTCTCATCCCCACATCCAGCAACATTCGCATCGAGGACCGGCAAGTGTTGCGACCCAGATCCATACGAATCACACCGGAGAGCAGGGGAAGGAATGGAGGTGTCCTGATCTAGATCAGACACCACCCGCCGAGCCAAGCAGTGCCCCAATTGATCCAGGAGCCTACCCCCGAGCGCACAACATGCTCCCCATCGCCACCTTCCTTGGCTGCGCCCGGGCTTGCCTCTGGCACCAGTCTCTGGCGGCGGCGAGGAACCAAAGGGAATGGGGGAGGCTAGGCTGCGGCGGCGTGAGATCCACTAGCGAGTCGGGGTGCTGCGGCGGCATGAGATCCACCCAAACGAAACGGTTTCTACATGCATACTGAGTCGTCTGAGGTGTTTATGGTGGTCATCGGAGATTGGATTGGGAGAGGCATAGCTGGAGGTAGGATCAGTCTGTGGCCGATACCATGCAAAGGAGAAGGGATTTGGGGCGTCCAGTTCTCGTATGTTTGTATAGCTTGTACAAGGTGCCTTGCAAGGCAAGAATAGTCAATCAGAACAACCGAATATTAACAGAATGGGCTAGAGAGGTAAGGTGAGAG